AAGTTACAAAAGTAATTCTCAAAAGGACAGTGAGAGTCCAAAGAAAAGCTACCCCGCCTGTCCCTGGACTCCCCGCTCGGGCAAGTCTCGTCACAACAGAGTCACCATCGCCATTGCAGCTGCGCCCTCTGGCCGTACTGATGGCAGTAAGGCACTGTCAGGACGCAACACATCTGGCCTACAACCCCCTACACCGCAGTTACCTTTTTCCTCCCCTTACCAACCAAAACTTTGACGCCCTAATCGCTCACTTACATTCAACCCTTGCTTCCCAAACTGGGGGATGGAAGCTGGGGCAAGCAAATATAACGCAAAACGGTGCCAAAACCTTTGGTTTGGTAACCCTTGTCGCTCGAGATTTACAAAAAACAGGGTGACAGAAAGCCACCCCGTCTCCGTCATCGATTGGGATCCCAGACATTAAATCGGGATGGCTGGGATCCCCATCCGGTCTCAGTCACCAAATAGGCCACCCCAACTCCGTCCTCGTGAAGAGGGCCCCAATCCCTATCCGTGGCAGCCAGCAGGATCACAGTCCGCGGCACATGACATCCATAAGAGGCCACCACGTCTCTGTCATCGAAGGGGGACCGGGCGTTCTATTCGGCCGATGATGGTAGGGCGTACTCACAGCAGGACTTAGTGGGATCGTATGGAAGTTGATGGCACGATTCTTGACAAACTACGAGCTTGGGTATCACCAATGGAGGTCGTTATTTACATTATTGCTTGATTGCTGTGCTCTCGTGACAAAGCTTACCATCCCATAACATGACTCCCCACTTGTGCATTTGCCGTTTCTTTTGTTCTTTTTGTTCTCTTGGTTCTGACAGAGCTCTCAGGCTAGCCATTCTGCGTGGCGTTATCGCTCCTTGTCATTCATTTGCTTGGGATGCGGATTACTTAGAAAGGAAAAGTCCAAGTATCCGGTAACGTACAGGGCGATCCTCAGGTATTGGCATAAGGTACGGGTTCCGCAAGTACTTTTTTTTTTCTTTTTTTTTTTTTGATTTTTTTTTTTTTTTTTGAATTTTAATGAAGAAGAAGAAGAAGAAGACGAAGAAGAAGACGAAGAAGAAGAAGAGGAGGAGAAGGAGAAAGGGTGAGGTCCCACTAGCAAAGAGGCTTGGATTGAACATCTGAATCTGGAAGTGTTTGTGGAAATGTCCAGAAAATCGCGATTGATCTGCTTTTCTGAACCTCTCCACAAACATGTCCAGATTCAAGCTTTCCATCCTATCCTCTTTGCTGGTTGGACCTAGCCCAAGAAGAAGAAGAGGAAGACGAAGAAGATGAAGGATCAATGAATAAACTTAGAAGTTTCAAGAACCTCACGAGACGGACATCAAATCATGACAGGGAAAAAAAAAGGAAAAAAAAAAACGTTACAAAAAAAAAGAAAGGACAGAATATGTCTAAGGTCGTAGTTTTGGCCAAGGCGAAGTTGTAGGGTGAAAAAACAAAGGAAAAAGAAAAAAAAAAGGGGTCAAAACCGTCAAAACTTCGCCCAAATAGAACGCCCGGTAATTATCGCCTTATCTGGGATGAAAGTTGTGCCAAAAATACAGCTATAATGACCTGGTGTTCTATTCAGGTGAAGACGGTAGAGGCTCGAGAAAAAGTCCTGGGAAGACAAGCAGTGCAACGGAAGCACACAGGACTGGGAATGAGTAGTATGGAGGCAGAAACCGGACAGATAAGGAGGCAATGTAGGAGACAGAGACATGGGTGCTGGCACGATGACATGCAGCCCGRGGAATCGGCGATTTCAAAAAAAAAAAAAAAAAAAGCCCGCCCGCCCCGCGCCTCGTCCTTCTGGAGATTGCCCTGCTACGTGATTGGGTGCTGCTAGTAAGCCTCCCAACCAGCAGGGCAGCCTCCTAAGAAAGGCCGTAATGGGGGGTGGGACGCCCCATAGCAGTACCCTTCTTGCCAGGCGGCTCGTGCCACAAGGGTTAGGCTGGCCCCCTTTCTCGTCTCTTCTGCCCCCTTGGATGTACAAACATGCTTTCCGGTTAAACCACCAGTACTTGGGCACTGCGCGCCGCGCCGGCCGCCCAAATCTCGAAGCAGCGCGGGCTGTCAATTCGATTTATCGACGGCCCGCGGGCCGCGGAAATCGCGTAGCGTTAACGCTAAGGCGTCGCCCAAGTACTGGTGGTTTAAGCAACCGGACTGTTGCCCCCCAGAATAGAAGGGGTATTTCTTTTGTTGCTGTTTTTTAAAGGAATGGCAACGGGGCTGATGTTCCCACGAATGGATATGGAGCCAGACCATAAGCACCTGATTTCTTTTAGGGAAAAAAAAACGGACCTCACCGATCGCTTCACAGCAAGTGGCATCAAAAGCATGCCCAGAAACACATGGAGAAGAGCTTGCAGCCATTTTGTATACCATTTCCTTTCAACGAATACTTGATCCGCTTTCTCTCATGCTTGCTCGCCTTATAAGCAACCGGAACGGTGCGCCCCACAGAATCGAAGGGGCTGTGTTATTGTTTGTTTGAAAATCCCAAGTCAAACAACCAGGTGACCAGGTCTCAGGAATCAGAACCGAAATGAATAGGAATGGGCAGATAGACCATTATATAGACCGTAGCAGTTGTAGTCTATAGAATGCCGCATTAAACAGCAAGCACACGGCCCCCCCAGCCTTGCACAAAGTTTTTGTCGCCACGAGCAAAACTCGGAGGGGCCATGCGGCGTGGGACGCCGTTGGAAAAAAAATCGGCAGCCTCCGAAGTGGTGCGGGTTTCGTGCTGCCACCCGTGGCCTGATGTGTGGCGTACTGGTGGCTTAAGCTGAGTAGTGGGCACAGGCATGGGAAAAACCATACCTGCTATGTGGTGCACTAACAGTAAGCCCAGGGCAGCATCATAAAAGGTGGGCCCAAGACAGGATCACATTCAAACCATGCAGAGGTTGGAAAAGCAAGAAGACAAAAAGAAAGGTCGAAAACAAAAAAGAACAAGGATATATTGTCAGACTGAAATTCGCTGCAGATTGTGCACGGTTAACCGAACAACAACAACAACAACAACAACAACAACAACAACAACAAAGCATAGTCCAGAGATGGTGGGAATCAGAAGGAAGGCTTCTCACAGGGGATGGCTGCCGGTGAGGCAAGATCGCTATCACCAACAATGACCATCTGAGAGACGGAAGAGAGAAGAGACGGGCCAAACCGAGTAATGCAATCCACCGTCACATGGCCTGGCATACAGCGACAAACTAAGGAAGAGGGATGTGATGTCCCAGGATCAATGCCTGGGACATCCCCCCACATATAGCTCGGGTGGGTGCGTATGTGTGGGTGGGTGGGTGGGTGGGTGGGTGGATGCGTGCGTGTGTGTGTGTGTGTGTGTGTGTGGGCGGGTGTGTGGTGGGGTGCGTGTGTGTGTGTGAGTCTGAGAGCACAAATGTGTAACCGTTACCCGTACCCGGCCGTACCGGACTGTAACCGCCAGGTTACGGGTGGGTATGGGTACCCCTTCCGAAGGGAGAGTTGGGTATGGGCAGGCACAAACAAAAGGTGGTGGTTGTTAGGGCGGGCACAGTTGCCCCTTTTGGAGATCATGGATGGGTAGGGGCAGGTACGGGTAGGGGTACATACAAAAAAAAGAAGGGTATGGGCGGCCAGAAAAAAAAATAGACGGGTATGGGCAAGTACGGGTGGCCCAAAAAAAAAAGGTGTGGGTACGGACGGGTTAAGGTTCCGATCGGGTAACCATGCTATACCCGATGTGAGTCTTGTAGCTTTGCAGACTTTGTATTTTTGCTCAAGCGTGACGCTTTTCTCATATTCCAAATTTCTCGCTTTCCCATGACACAAACATTTTTTTTCTCGCAAGGGTGAATTTTATATCTCTTCAGTTTTTTATATGTGTGTAACCCTGTGTATGTAATATTTGTGTGTGTGTGTGTGTGTGTGTGTGTGTGTGTGTGTGAGAGAGTGTATGTGTGTGCGACAGACCGAGGGTTGTGGTATTTGCAGATGCTATACAGGTTGCATAGGCTGCTGTAGCACCAAATGCATCCATAGCAGCATCAGAGTGACGAGATGTAACAAATTGTGCTTTTGAGGCAGTAGCTGCAGCAGCTGCCACATCTCTAAAAAAATAAAATAAGATAATAATATTACTGATAATTACGACGTCAATCGTACGACGTCCAGGGGGTTGGGAATAGTTGGGAGTGGTAAGGACAATTAGGGGCGGTTAGGGGCGGTAAAAAAAAAAAAAACGTTAAGGGCAGTTAGGGACAGTTAGGGACAGTTAGGGGCAGTTAAGGACAATTAGGGGCGGTTATGGGCGGTTAGGGAGGGTGGACGACGAGCACGGGTGGTTACGGGTCGGTAGAGGTACATAAAACTTGGGTAGGGTAGGGTATGGGTGGTTAACAAATGGTTTGGGCTTAGGTGGCCATGGATGGTTTTGAAAACAATTGTTCATGGGTAGGTATGGTCAGTTACATGCTGAAGAGGTTCAGGTAGGGTAGGTGTTACATCTTCGACGCACACGGGTCCTACCGGACTCGACTTAGGGCCGGAGGGACACATCAGGGCCTAAAGGCCCGACCTT